CAATGACAACTGAAGAGGTACAGACAGAAGCCTCAACTGAACACCCACAAAGCTCAGAATCCCACTCGAGCACAGTTACAGCATCAAGTAGAGTAAGCAGTGGTTCCCCTCAGATAACAACTGAAGAGGTAGAAACAGCAGGCTCAACTGAACAGCGAGAAAGCTCAGAATCGCACTCGAGCACAGTTACAACATCAAGTAGAGTAAGCAGTGGGTCCCCTCCAATAACAACTGAAGAGGTAGAAACAGCAGCCTCAACTGAACAGCCACAGAGCCCAGAATCCCACTTGAGCACAGTCGGAGTGTCGAGTGAAGCAGGTACGGGGGTTCGTTCAACAAGTTGGGCGGAAACGGTGTCCCCAACGGTAGAAAATTCTGAGTATATGGATGTCGTGTTTCTATTTGGAAGTTCTTTGTCCGAGGAGAGTCTCTGCAAGAGGAAAGCGGTTTGTTTATTATGGTTCTTAATCGTTTTTTTTCACTAGGGTTTTTTTATATATTTTGTGTCGTTTCGTTTTTCTGAATTTGGTGATTTGGTTTTTTGCTTTAGAATTGTGAGGTCGCGAGTGGATCTCATTTGGTTCGCTTTTTTTGTTTGTTGTGCGGATGATAGTTGTTTTCGAGTGACTCTGGTTTTTCTTGATAATTTTTGATTTTCGTGTCTCTGGGAAGTTGTTTTGGGGTGCGTCGTTGTTTTTCTTCTGCAGTTTGAGGAGATTTAGAAATGTTGAATAGTTTGGGTGTTTTACATAGTCTGTAAGCATTCAAGACGAGTGCTTTTTCTGGTGGTTTAACAGCTTGCTGAGTATTCTTGAATTTAAAGCAATTTGTTTGCTAATCCATTTTTCCTGAAATTGACTGTAAAAGTGTGCTCCAAACAGTGCGTGAATAAGCTCTTTGCGGTCAGTTTCTTCTGGTTGCTCAGGATATGGTTCAGTCTTTTAAAGTTAGTTTGTGACGAGGCAATCCCAACAAGTCTCTACCATTACTCTGCGAATTTTCTTTGCGCTATGAAATCGCTTGCCTTCTGTTCCTTTTGACCGCGCTGCGAGTCAATTTATTTTATAAACTCGAATGCCGGCTTTAACGTCGAGAGTGCTGTACCTCGGTTTCTGACGGTGAAGATGGACAAGCGAATTGACGCCTCCGTCTTTGTAATTGTGTACCTCCTCTTGCTAAGTGAATCTTACAAATTTTGAAATTTTTTTGCAGATCATGTTTTGACGTACTATTGCAGCGCAGGGAACGGAGACTCCTACAGTTTGTTGTATAGCATTGCTTTTTAAGTATGCTAACAAGTACATGGAATTGTAAACGGAGTAGAGGATTCTTTGTATGAAAATGTTCAATTTCTTTACGCTGGCAAAGAAAGTTATTTTGAGCTAACCGACTCTGTACACATCTTGACTCTTCTGGGATTAAAAAGGTTATGTCATCAGAAGACATGAAAACCTCGGTTGCTTGAAAAAGGATATAAAAATGAGAAGTACACAAACCAGTCATAGTATAACAACGGTAGATTTGCTGATTCGGTACACTGTGACTTGCCACAATAGCAGCCTGACTGCTTTTTCTTCTCGTAGCTGTTAGTTTTGTGATAGTGTCTTCTCTGCATCAAATATAAGTTAAGTTGTGCCTGATACAAATTATTAATCCTAACTTGGAAAACCTCAAGCTTGCTTTCAAAAATTTTTGTACGGTTCTTTTTCCTTTAAGAAACTTCACCTAGTTTCTATTCAGACCACTATTTTAGGAATTGAATTTAATTACAAAGGTTGGAGAACAACTTCCTGAATTGCAATCCAATGTAAGCGTTGCTATAGCAAGTTACGGGTTTCGAAAACGTCTGAATAATAGTACAAAATTTGGGACTTTCAACTGTACTAAGTTTGCTGACGCTGCCGGATTACAAGAGCTAGTAACTTCAACCAAATCGACGTTCATAGAGCAGGAAGATTATACAATGGGCAAATTTCCTTTAAAATAGTTAGTTATATTGGGTAGTCTACGTACATTTTGAGTAAATTTATTCTAACGTATTTTAATACAATTTTACAGCATTTTTTCAAACATGATAGACCACTGTGAGGGCTCGAAGCGAAATAATTCAAAACTGATATACATAGTTTCGACAGGCTGCAGGTGAGTGTGGTTATTACAAATAACTTGTTTTTATTTTTTAGTTTGGACCTGTTAAGGTATCATTTTTGGGTGTGACAAGTAGTCATAAACAATGGTAAAAATGAAAAAACTGCTGAAATGTATAATGCTATTAACCCTAAGTCTTTAAAAATTATTTGATTTTTTTGTGATCTGTAGTAAATTTGTAGTTTAAAAATTACTTTAATTAACGGTATAAGAATTTATATTCTGGTATTTTGGCTAGGTTTTTGTCTTTAATACCTGCATTAATCGTTCTTACCTTTTGCAGTCCAAAAAAGAATCTAGTTGATGGTGTGAAAAAGAATCTAGAGTTGCTTAACCCCCAACCGTATATTATTATTGTGACCTATGGAAAATGTTAGTTGCTATATATTCAAACTAACGGATTAATTCAGCATGTTCTAATTGTTCAAAAAATGTGACAAATTCCTCTTTTCAGTTAACGACAAATTGTATAAAACGCTTTCTCACCCAGAAAATGCCACTTATAACATTGGAGACTGTAAAAGTGAGGATGCAGTGGACAAAGCAGCTACTTCAGTTGTGGGCGTCTTACGGAGAAGTACGTAACAGAAATTGATTGTTTGACTTTCACAAGCAGGTAACAACTGGAAAAAATAAATCGAAGAAGTTACCTCAAGTCATTAAAACAAAACCAGAAAAACAGCCTTGACAGTTATAAATATTGTTTCTGTAACATAAGTTAAATGACACTTTTTTTTTGCAGATTATGTAACAAAAGCTTTTAAAGATTTGACATTTTGCATCATGGTTCTGTTTGGATAATCTCGCGCATTAAAAGCTTTAAGGCTTAGAAAGAGAACAGATAGTTTTCAGATATAGCACTTTTAAAAACTGTGGGTGTTTCGTAGACGGTGACATTAAAATTTTATGCTTTAATTATTTTCTGCTTATATAAGCACGGTAATAAGAAACCGGCGAGTACTTAGATTATAAAAGTGGTATCTTGAAACACTGTACTATTTTAAAGAAAGCAATTTTTTAATAATGTTTCACTGGAACAAAAAGTCAACTGCATTAAAAAATTTGAAAAAAATTTTGTTTTGTTCTGGTTTGAGCGGATTGTCGGAAATTAAAATTTTCTATATCTTACATTTGAAAAGAACGAAATGATTTGCTTCTTTTCCATTATATTTGAAAAATTTTCTTTGTTGTATTTCAGTTATGACAGAAAACGAGGGAATCACAACTCAAACAGTCAGTATATCCCAGTCAAGTATGTATTGAAAAGCTTCAACGCAAGAGCAGTTGTTGTAGCGACACAGTGAGTGACACAGTGTATCACTTCAAACATTTTAAGACTGAAATTAGTTTCTGAGAGATCCAGTTATTGACGTTTTTTTTTTTGAATTATTTTCTGTAGTTTTGTTACTATTACAGTAGACTGCTTCTATGAAATAAATGTGAAAGTGTTTTCAAATCAAGTTGTATAT